GTTACCAAGAGAATTACATTTAACATTCTAAAGTTATAACACTGTACTTTAATTTTTTGCCAGCATAACCTCATTAACATTTTAAGACTCTATCTTAATTTCTCCCTCATGTTTATTTTTCTTTTCTCTTAGTACTATATCAGCCCAGTGCCTTCTGGCCTTCTGGCCTCTAAAGTTTCTGATCCCTTGTTTGTGACTAGTTGCTTACCTCTTACTGCTTTCAAGCTTCTCTCGTTGTCTTTGGAAAGTTTGATTATGGTAGGTCTCAGTGTGAGACTCTTTGAATTCATCTATTTGGAATTTGCTGAGATTTTTGCATGTTTATATTCATCTCTTTCATCAAACCTGGTAAGTTTTAAGCCAATAGTTCTTCAAATAATTTCTCTGCCTCCTTCTCCCTTTCTCTTCTCCTTCTGGAATTTCTGCATTTGGATGTAGGCCTACTTAATGGTGTCCCACAAGTCCCTCAGGCTCCCTTCAAAATTTATTTTGTTTCTGTTCTTTTTTTTTTTTTTTTTTGTCTAATTAGCACATTACACCTTTATTATTATTATAGATAATAAAAGTATATGGGATAGTTGCAAGAATTCTTATTAAATAGCAAGGTTTTACCAAAGCAAATATAAACATTTTTAATATAATAAGTCAATTAGAGAACTGAACCAGATTCAGGATTGAAATAACGTAGTACTCCATGAAGTACAAAGCCAGGTTTTTCGCCTCAACCTCCAACATTTCACGTAGGTAAGGACCATGTCTCAAGCATCTCCAAACCCTCTGCTTCCCTCCCTCTCCCCCTCCCCATAGCTTCTACCTCATGGCGTCCTGCGCAGGACAACCAATGCTCACACACAGGGGATCGTCAAACATAAATAATATGGTCCAAACCTCACCACCTTCAAGAGAGACAGAAAAGCCGTCCTTGCGGGGAAACACGAGTAAGGCCGGAGCCAGGGAAGACCCAGGCAGGAGTCCTCAGCCCTATTTGGGAAATCCTAAAACTACAACTCCTATGCCCTAGACTCTCAGGAGGCCTGCCCAGCCAGCGAAAGCTCACGGAGTCGACTGCTGGCCTTCCCGCCCGCCCTCTCTGATCACAGCTCTGTTTCTGTTCTTTTTTTTTTTTTTTTTTTTTTTTTTTTTTAATATATTTTATTGATTTTTTTACAGAGAGGAAGGGAAAGGGATAGAGAGCTAGAAACATCGATGAGAGAGAAACATCAACCAGCTGCCTCTTGCACACCCCCTACCGGGGATGTGCCCGCAACCAATGTACATGCCCTTGACAGGAATCGAACCTGGGACCTTTCAGTCCACAGACCGACGCTCTACCACTGAGCCAAACTGGTTTCGGCTGTTTCTGTTCTTAAGATTGAATAATTTCCATTATCCTGTATTTGAGTTCACTAATTCTCTTTTTAAATCCTCACCTGAGGATATGTTTTTATATTTATTTTTATTTATTTGTTGGTTTGCTTTGTTAATCTTCACCCAGGGATACTCTTCCATTGATTTTTAGAGAGAGTGAAAGGAAGGGGGAGAGAAAGAGAGAAACATATTAATTAGTTGCCTCCCCCACACGCCTTAACCGGGGCCAGAGGATGGAGCCTGCAACCGAGGTATGTACCCTTGACCAGAATTGAACCTGGGACCCTTCAGTCCTAGGGCCAATGCTCTATCTCCTGGGCAAAACCAGCTGGGACTTACTGACTTTTAGAGAGAGGGGAAGAAGGGGAGAGAGAGAAATATTGATCACTTGCCTCCTATAGGCATCCTGAACCCTGACTAGCAACTGAGCCTGCAACCTTTTTGGTATACAGAACAACGCCCAAACCAAATTAGCCACATGGCCATGGCATACTGATTCTTTTCTCTGCCTGATCAAATGTGCCCTTGAGTCTCTAGTGCATTTTTTATTTTTATTATTGTACTTTTAAGTTCTAGTATTTCTTTTTGGGTTCTTTTTAGGTTTTCTATCTCTTTGTGTATATTTCCATATTGTTCATACACTGTTTTATTGACTTTCATCACATCTACCTATATTCGTTTGAGCATCTTTAAGTCAGTTGTTTTGAAGTCTTTGTTTAGTAGGCCCACCATCTGGCTTTCCTTTGTGAACTCTGTTCATTTATTTTTCCCCCCTTTGAATGGACCATATTTTCCTCTTTCTTTGTAGGCTGTGTGATATTTTTGTTGAAATTAAATAATGTGGTAGCTCTGGAAATCAGAATCTCCTTTGTCCCCATAGTTTGTTGTTTTTGTTTTTGGTTATTATAGGTTATCCTTGTGTCAAGGATCAAAATCAAAGAATCAAAATCCCCATGGTTTGCTATTTTTTTGTTTTTGTTTTGTTTTTGGTTATTATAGGTTGACTTTGTGTCAACGATCAGCCTGAGGTGTAAAACGAAAGGTCTTCTCAGTCTTTTTTGAGCCTATGCCTTTCCCACATACATGCAGTTGCTTTTGAATGGCCTAACCTTTAAAATGTTAGCCTCCCAAAAGGAGGGAAAACAGGAAAATGAAGGAGAGTTTGGGGCCATTTAAATCCCCTGGAAGTTGAAACAGGGAGGGGCTTGAAACAGTGTATGGTAGCTGCCAGACTCTGTGCCTGTAGCTCTGTGATCAGAAGTAGCTCTCAGTGATCAGAATACAAATCCTGATATTTAAGAAACGAGATCTTTATTGCCCACCGGATTTCCATAGCTGTGTACAAGTTGCCCCTGTAACTCCTGCACTGCCTGTTGACAGTGGTTGATGGGAAGCTGCTACCTAGCTAAGAGCTTAAATTAACAGACCTTCCACTAGAAGTTACAAATCTTCAATAGACTAGAGTTCCAGAATAGTTTTATCCGACAGATTTTTCCAGTTCAGTTCTAGTCTGAATGGGAGAACAGATTCCTGGTGCTTCCTACTCCTCCATCTTCCCAGAACCCTCACTAATTCACTTGTATGGGGTTAAATACCCATTGTGATACTAGAAATGAGGGTGCTTTGCTACCTTGACACCAAATTTTACTCACTAGAACACTTTCCAGTTTTGTAACAAAGGGCCATTAAGGAATTTTGGTGTGATTTAAATATATGCCGGTACTTTCCTTATAGGATTACCAATGGAGAGGCTTTATAATTTTTTACTTAACCCACAGCAAGTCTCGAGCACGTTTCATTGATTTAGCAGTTGATGCCAGGGCCTCTTTCTGTATTGCTGTGATGAGAGCACATCTTTCCTTTTTTTCCTCTTCCGTGTCATAAAATGTAAGCTTCCCTTTTGCTTGCTTTCCTGACTGAACTATAGGTTTTAGAAGCTTTTCTTGAAATTGGACACTCATGGAAAAATGAAGAATATCCTCTTTCTTCTTTGTTTGCCCAAACAAGCAGGAGAAAAGAGAGAGAGAGAAAGAGAGAGAGAGAGAGAGAGGGAGAGAGGTGTTTCAAAATCTAAATCTAAAATCACATTTACAGTATATATTCCATTTTTGGTTCTACAGGCAGTTCAGAATTATTTTTATAGATTTAAGTAGGAAAACTTATCCAAGAAATCCTCTATCTTCTCATATAGTTCGTGAGGCTCAACACGAGAGCATGTGAAACTTCTTGGAAAAGGTTAAAAAGCTTATATTCTAAATGTTTTTTCTTTATAAATTGGAAAACAAATCCCCAGATATGGGAGGAGAATGTAAAAAAATAGAAACCTGGAAGATTTGATAGTCTTACCTCCCTGAGAGAACCACAGTTAATTTGAAAATTCTTTGAACTAGCCATCCAAATATTATATACTAGGGGCCCAGTGCATGAAATTCATACATGGGTGCAGTCCCTAGGCCTAGCCAGCAATTGAAGGGCAAGCATCTGGCGTAGAAGGGCAGGTCTCAGCTGATCTCTGAGCCCTGGGCAGCACTTGGGCCCCCAGACCCCTACGCACCCCCCTCCACCTGAGTCACGGCGCCCAAGTCCCCACATGGAGATGCAGTGAGCACGGCTGGATGCCGCAGGCAAGGGGACAGCGTGGGCCTCTGGGCCGCCCAGCAGCGCTGTACAGAAACCAGCAGGCAGTGTACTCTCCCAGCCGGCCTCACAGATCAGCTCCTGCGTGAACCCACGGGGAGCCCGACCAGCCCCTTCATTCCTAATGGCTGCAGTCCGGCTCACCCGGAAGAGGCCATGCAGGTATGGGCAGGATCCTCAAGAGCTCCTGGCACCTGAGCGTAGGGGCTTCCCCTGCACAGGAGTCCTGGCATCCTGGATGGGGGGAAGGGAGCAAGGGGAATGAGAGTGAGCTGAGCAGACACCCCACATTCTCTACCGCACTTCCTGCCTCCAGGTAGCCAGTGAGAAGTCACAGCCCCCCCACCTGGGCACCGCAGGAAGTTGGTTATTGCTCCCTGGTAGTCAGCGCACATCATAGGAAGTGGTTGAACGATTATCTGAGGGAATAATTTGCATATTAGGCTTTTATTATATAGGAGGATAATATAATATAAAATCATATTGTGTTCTGCAATTCCATTATAAAGTGTTTCTAAAATGATATTTTACATTTACATAGCATAGTTTGTGTGAAACAAGGTCAGAATACAGAAAGAAATACATCTCAATGTAACCAAACAGACATTTAGTTTACTGGTTGGTAATATCTTAACTGGCAAAAGTGGATATGTATGTTTCACGTTATAATATGAAAATAACCTGGGAGTCGAAACCGGTTTGGCTTAGTGGATAAAGCGTTGATCTGTGGATTGAGGGGTCCCGGCTTCGATTCCGGTCAAGGGCATGTACATTCGCTGTGGGCACATCCCCGGTGGGGGTTGTGCAGGAGGCAGCTGGTCAATGTCTCTCTCTCATCGATGTTTCTAGCTCTCTATCCCTCTCCCTTCCTCTCTGTAAAAAATCAATAAAATATATTATTAAAAAAATAAATAACCAGGGAAAAATCCATTCTATTTTTCACAGTATTAATGTTTGGATTAAGTATAATCTGTGTGTATATGTGTTTCTTTCAGGGCTGATAGTCGGATTTATCCTAACAATTGCCAACTTCAGCTTTTTTACCTCTTTGCTGATGTTTTTCCTTTCTTCTTCAAAACTCACTAAATGGAAGGGAGAAATAAAGAAGCGTCTAGATTCAGAATATAAAGAAGGTAACATGAGTTATATTTGACATTATTTAATGTGTTTTTATTTTTAATTTATTTCAGAGAGAGAAAGGGAGAGGGAGAGAGGAATGAGGAACATCAGTGATAGGAATCAATCGGGTGCCTCTTGCATGCCTCCCACTGGGAATTGAGCATGAAACCCGGGCCTGGGCCCTGACCTGGGAATCGAACCGTGACCTCCTCGTTCATGGGTTGATACTCAACCTCTGAGCTCCACCAATGTTTGATGTTATTTCAAAGAGTAACTTTGTTTCATCCTAACATATAAGCTTTTAATCAAAACATGTTTAGATTGTTGAAATAGATAAATGTTATATGAGAATTAAAGTAGTAGCCTGATTTAATTTATCATTACTTCACACAATAACAAGTAAGAGCAAAATTTTAGAAGCACTAAAGACTTTCATTATTCTAAAACAATATAGAATGTGGGCAAAGGTACCATCCCACTTTTAGTCACTTAAAAATTTTTAGTCATTTTTCTTATATGTTTAAATATGTAAGTTCCTAAATCAGCGTAATTTTCTTTCTGAGAAGAAAACATCTCTTGTCCCTTTTTCTACTTTTTTGCTGCTAGGCGGGCAGAGGAATTGGATTCAGGTGTTCTGTAATGGAGCTGTACCCACAGAGCTGGCCCTACTGTACATGATAGAAAATGGCCCCGGGGAAATCCCAATAGACTTTTCCAAGCAGCACACTGCTTCCTGGATGTGTTTGTCTCTCTTGGCCGCACTGGCCTGCTCAGCTGGTGACACGTGGGCTTCAGAAATCGGCCCTGTTCTGAGTAAAAGCCCACCAAGGCTAATAACAACGTGGGAGAAAGTTCCAGTTGGTGAGTCTTTGTTTAAGTTTCTTAAAAAAAAAAAAAAATGAACAAAAGAAAAACTTTGATTTATTGTGTTTCTTAGTTAAGAGTCTTTGAGGAATTGTTAGTCTCCTAGATTGGAAAATTGCTGTAGTCTTAAAATGCAGAAAAAGTTAGCGAGCCCTAGATAAAACAATACAGAAACATAGAAATTGATTCACAGATGTACCAGTGAGAAAGGAAAAGGTGGGGGAGGAGGGGCAATAGAGTATTTCTTGAGGGTCTAGTGGTTAGTGGTTTCACATGTATCTTCGTTTCCCATTACTATTGCCAACTACTACAACAAAATATTTATCTTCTTTGTCATTGCCTTGTCCTCCCCTTCTTCTTCCCTTGTCTTATTTTCCTCCTTTTCTAACTCCTTTTCTTTTTCCTGCTTCTTCTCACCTCCTTTTCTTCTTTTCTTTCATCATCATCATGAACAGCTAACATATTTGAGTAACTACTATGTGCAAGGCATTGATTACATGAATTACCATTAAGTACTCTTAATAACATACGAGTTGGTTCTTTGATTATTTCTATCTTACAAACAAGGAAATTAAGTATTAGAGAAGTCAGGTACAGTCACAGCTGAACTAAGAGTGAAACCAGGCAGTCTAGCTCCACTGAACTATTCTACTAGAACCCTTTCTTTAAGTTAGTCTTGAGGGGATAGGCACCAAAATGTTCTGCTTTCCTTGCCTTTATTGTTTGCTGATTGTTAACGTGATGATTTTATCCGTGTTTCTTCTTCAGGGACCAATGGAGGGGTCACAATAGTGGGCCTCGTTTCCAGTCTCCTCGGTGGTACCTTTGTGGGCATTGCCTACTTCCTCACACAGTTGGTTTTTGTTAATGATTTGGACATTTCTGCTCCCCAGTGGCCAATTATTGCATTTGGGGGTCTGGCTGGATTACTAGGATCAGTTATGGACTCATACTTAGGAGCTACGATGCAATTTACAGGTAAGAACATTTCTTATTATTGCAACTTACTGGTATGTTAAAGAAATGGGAAAGAAATATGGAAAATAAAAGGATATGACAATGAAAACAACCCTAAAGACACCAGGAGATGAGATACCATGAGTGATAAGACTGAGTCTATTCTATGATTTTGATTTTCTTACTCTTTTTTGTTAAGTTCATTGAAAGCGAATTAGTTCAGCAGAACAAGGAGTAGAAGCTGGGTGGGGAAGATGTGACAGTGCAGGAAACAGATGGTTCTGCTAATGGGACTTCACTTCATCCCAGGAAAGTGGGGATCAAATCATGTTGATGCCCTGTCCTTCCACTTGTTTTCCAAGTCCATTTGAGAGACAATTACTGTACTAATCTAACTATACACATGTGACTTTTTCTACTGTGTCATCGTGCTTGCTTTCGTCCCCACTGAGTTTTTAGCCCCACTGAAGATACAAGCGAGAGGCAGTTTTCCCAAAAGGCTCCTGTGCTTTGTCCTGACGCCCTCCCGTCATGTCAGTGGACTGACATGTTTTGTTAGGAGTATATTTACTCCACGTGCAAGTCACCTACATCTTCCCCTTTGAATCATATAATTAAGAGGCTGGGAGTCTGGAGAAAGTTTCCCTGAGGACTGTCCTCCCAGTTCTCATGCCCCAGTATAATCTGCTTGCCCTTGCATTCCCCTCACAACCAAACTGTATATGCTTTCAGTTTTTTTTTTAGTCTTGTCTCAATGCTCAGGAGGAATCAATCTGATTTTAATCCACACCGAGGGCTAATAATTGTACTCACACATGCACACACATGAGTTTTTTAAAGAGTTTTATTCTAAACTGGGCTCTAACTAGACAAGTTTCTGACCATATTGAGTGGGTTGAAAAGCAGTTGTGGGCTGTGGACAGGTTAATTCATTCATTAAATCTTGGTGTGCTTCCTCTGTGCTAGCACTATGCTGGGTCCTGGGCATCCATTGCAGAAGCTGCTGACATCATCTCTACTCTCGGGGGCCTTATAGCCTGGTCTTGGAGGGGAACCACAGGAAAGGCAGGCCTTGTCTGCCAGTTTCATGTCATTTCTGCTTTTCATGTTCTCTTTTCTGCTTCTGAATGGACTCCAGCAATGTTTAGAAAACAGTATTGAGTGGTACTGAAACCCATTTATTCAAAGAGGCCTTTTGTAATGAAGGGTTCCAACTCTCTCACCATATAGATTATCCTTTAAAATCATTTTATAAGTGACTGCTTATCTTTCAAAGATTATTTTCTTTGGGGGAGAAAGGGTGTTTTTTTCAAGTCATTTGTATTTTGGATCTCACCTGGCTTCTTTCCCACTCTAGGCTTGGATGAAAACACTGGCATGGTGGTCAACAGCCCAACGAATGAGGCGAAGCACATAGCAGGGAAACCAATTCTTGATAACAATGCGGTGAATCTGTTTTCTTCTGTCCTTATTGCTCTCTTGCTCCCAACAGCTGCTTGGGGTTTCTGGCCCAGGTTGTGAACTTTATCTCATTTACAAAGGTTGAAACTGTGATAAATTCAGCTAAATTTGCAATCCCAAGTTTCATCCGAAGAAGAATAATTGTAATGGCAAAGGGGAAATGCCAGCACCTCTCGTATCCCGTTGTGATGGAATTCTCCATGTTCCTCTCATCAGTTAACATTTCCCAGTGAAAGACAAGAGTACATAGAACTTACCATTTTTTTCTTCTGCTGAATGAAGCTTCTGGAGCAATGAAACCAAAGTGCCCCTGAGTATTGGCATATATTGATCTGAAAGCTAATATGTTGAACTGAAAGTTTCTACATGGTAGGTATACATTTTGTTTTGTTTGTTTAAACTAGTGTGGGGAAAGTCATACAATTTAAAAATGGTCCTCAGCTGTGCCAATAAATGCCACTGTGCCAATTGCCCAAATGTTATATCCATTTTATGTGGTTTAAACTGATGTGCATGGAAGTCTGAGTAAGTGTAGTATGCTGGACTTCGTCCATTACTTGCCATTTACAATTGTGAAAGGTGTGTATTTTGATTCCTAGGCTGTGAGGCCTATTCCACATTTGTTCTTCCTCGGGATTAGTAATAAAATAAATGTCTTTTTCATATGACCATTAAAATGCATGAAAAAAATTTTTTTTACATAAAAGCAAGAGAAAGCTGCCCTGTATCTAAAAATATGCACACCTTACTATACATCTCAAATTTAATATTTTTAATGTATTTTCTAGCTGTTTTTCAAATGTGTATAGGAATATGCTTTACATTTGCATACCAAACAATTAAAGAGTCACTGGAAAATTACTTGCTAATCTAGAATTTTCTGGAAGATGGATGCTATGATTTCCGGTGATAGACCTGTGAAGTTGTGCTCACCTTTACATTATAGCCTCAACAAAATAGAATTCTACTTCTCAGTTTTGTTCCTTATTGTGATTAACTGTGTTCTAAAGGATTTTGATATGGTGTGGATTATTTTGCTAAAAGTACTTTAAAATATTTCTCATGTGATTTCCATACCTTTCTTTCCCTGAGGAGAAAACACTGTTTTCTCAATAGGCTATCACAGTGAGAAAAAACAGCACTTAGCCACCAAATCCCTGGTGAATTGTACGTAGTTTAAAGATGTAAACACAATTATGCAGCTTAATTATTCAATTTCCTAGTGGAGTATCTGTAACTCCAGGAGGTTCTGAACATTTTTAAAGTATATAGGTCTTTAATATATGTTTATTAAGTTAAGTTGTTTGACTCTAAATATGTTTCTTCAAGTCATTGAAAGTTGAAAATCAGAACATATTTCTGGAAGAAAATAAAGAACTAGTTTGGCTACCTGAATATTTTAGGACTGTGATGATTCCAACATTTCTTAATACATGTGCTGCAATATTAATGGTTTTGGGACTAATGAGTCAGAAAATTATTGTTAGGCCATGTTGGCAGGGCAAGTCTCCTGAAATTCTCCTACCTGCCAAGACTACTATGTTCTCTTTCATTTATCATAACTTGCCCTTTCAAAATGTATTTTCTACATGTTCTGACAAGTCTTTTTTATGTTTGGATTTTTAAAAATAAAATTCATTACTTAAGTAATATACTGAATTTACTTTTTAAATAATTAGAATATTAAAGACAAAGTTAAAATATCTTTTGCCTCCACTTTCCCCTCAATAAACCCCGCTCCCTCTTCTACCTTCTCAAAAAACTTTGAATCGTTTCTACATGGTAATTGTTTGGGATATATTTTCTTTTTAATCAATGAAATTTATTACTGTCATTTTGCAGTTTCAAGTTGGATGCTTACATCCAAGAAAACAAATTTTTAAAAAAGAATAGAGTCTGGGCTGGTTTGGCTCGGTGAATAGAGCGTCAGCCATGACTGACGAGTCCCGAGTTCAATTCCAGTCAAGGGCAAGAGCCTCAGTTTCAGGCTTGATCCCCAGCCTTGGGAGGCAATCAATCAATATCTCTTTCTCACATCAACGTTTCTATCTCCTCCCCTCCCACTCTCTCAAAATCAATGGAAAATTATCCTCAGGTGAGAATTAAAAGAAAAAAAATTTTTTATGAAGAGAAAAATTTTAAAGAAAATATACCCCAAACAATTACCATGTAGAAACTATTCAAAGTTCTTTGAGAAGGTAGAAGAGGGAGCGGGGTTTATTGAGAGGAAAGTGGAGGCAAAAGATATTTTAACTTTGTCTTTAATATTCTAATTATTTAAAAAGTAAAATAAAAAATAAAAACCAAACAAAACAGATTTGCTTTTGTATGGTTTTTATTTTTTATTTTACTTTTTTTATTTTAGAGGGATGGAGAGAGAGAGAGAGAGAAACATCAATCGGTTGCCTCCCATAGACACCCAGCCCTACTCAGATAACCCACAATCTGGGTATGTGCCCTGAATAGGAATCGAACTGGCAACCTTTCGGTGCACAGGACAATGCTCAACTACCTGAGCCACACCAACCAGGGCAAGTTTTTCTCCTCTTACAAATGAGAAATGCTATGAGAAAGCCAGACAATGTCAAAAATAATTATATCTTGGGGAGTACAATTTTAAAAAGGAATACTGTTAGCTAGTAGAAATATTTTAGACTAGAGGTCCAGTGCACAAAATTTGTGCACAAAGGCGGAGGGTCCCCTCAGCCCAGCGTGCACCCTCTCCAATCCAGGACCCTCAGGGGATGTTGGACATCCCTCTCACAATCTGGGACCACTGGCTCCTAACTGCTCACTTGCCTGCCTGCCTGATCACCTCTAACTGCCTTCCCCCCTGTTCCTGGTCACCCCTAACTGCTCCCCATGCTGGCCTACTCGCCCCCAGCTGTACCCCCCTGCTGGCTTGGTCACCCCTAACTGCCCCCCCCCACTGGCCTGATCATCTCTTACTGCCCCCATCCCTGCCAGCCTGGTCACCCCCAACTGCCCCACACCCCCACTGGCCTGGTCATCCCTTACTGCCCCCACTGCCAGCCTGGTCACCCCCTGCTGCCCCCCACCCCCACTGGCATGGTCACCCCTCACTGCCCCCTGCTGGCCTGGTCACCCCACATAGCCTGTTCAGTTGGTTCAGTTGCCATGGTCACTTAGGCTTTTATTATTATAGATGCATATTTGTTGACATCAAAAGTAAAGTAAAAATTGTTTAAAAATCAGAATTGACAGGTATGCTTTCATTTTGTTTTAAAAATATTAATAGCTATTTAGCCATTAAAAAAAGGTCAAGCCCTGATGATGTTGCTCAGTGATTGTACCAGTTTGATTCCCATTCAGGGCACATGCCCAGGTTTTGGGCTCAATTCCCAATAGGGGGCATGCAGGAAGCATCAGTGTTTCTTATCTCTGTCCCTCTCCCTTTCTCTTTAAAAAAAATCAATAAAATATATATACTTTTTAAAAAGTTCAGGGTGAATATACACTTAATGTTAATTAGCCTGGAAGGTGGAATTATTAGAGTTTTAACATTTACTTTAGTTTTATTTTTAACATATTCTATAATTAATAATCTTGTTTTGGTAATTAAGGAATGCAGTGATTTTTGTTAAAAGGGATTCGGGAAGGAAAGTGGTCACCTGATTTATCACTACACATGTACAGAGAGGACACGCATTCCTTTCAATAAACGGATTTGGGTCATTTAATACCCATATGTGGGGAAAAAATCTATCTTGACCCCTTTTGCACATTGTTTAGAAAATCAATTCCAGCCCTAGCCACTTTGGCTCAGTATATAGAGCATCAGCTTGTGAACTGAAAGGGCTCAGCTTGATTCTGGTCAAGGGAACATGCCCAGGTTGCGGTGGGGGGCATACAGTAGGTAGCCAATCAATGATTCTCTCATCATTTATACACACACACACACACACACACACACACTAGATGCCCCGCCCCCCCCCACACACACACACATACTAGAGGCCCAGTGCATGAAATTTGTGCACGGAGGGGGTCCCTCAGCTGGCCTGCACCCTGTCCAATCCAGAAACCTTGAGGGATGCCTGGATATATACTTGAAAGAAATGTTCATACCAGTTCTCTTCATAATGGCCCCAACCTGGAAACTACCCAGCAATATGCTAGATAAATACACTGTAGAATACTCACACAATGAATATACTATATAATAATGAGAATGAGCAGCCTGCACCTGCATTCACTATGGGATGAGGCTCAGAACATAATGTTGAGCAAAAGAAATCAGACACAAAAGAGTGCATACTGTGTTTTCATTTATATAAAGAACATAAATGTGTAGAAGTCATCTATTCTATTAAAACTCAAGGACAGCAGTAACCCTTAGGATTGAGATAATGAATGGAAGTTTCACGAGAGGAACTTCTGAGGTGCTGAAAATATTTTTTGATCTGGGTGCTGGTTACACAGGTGTATCCAGTGGTGAAAATGTTTTGGACTGAATGTTTATATGCATTTATTATTTCAATAAAAAATTAAAAGTGAAATGACTAGTATAGTAAATAGAATGATCTATTTGATTATTACTGCTTTAAAAAGAAGAAAAGGAAGCATCTAAATTCTCTTGTAAGTTGTGGGAAACTTTTTTTCTCTTGTTCTTTTAGGTAGTTTAATAATTAAATCTACATGAGGCAAATTAACAAGAGAAAATACATAGCCAAATTTATTACCTACATACATATGGGAATCCCATATGCATGAGTCAGACACACACATACACATACATAAAATTCAGAGTTAGAAATATATATATATATCCTTAGTTAGAAATATATACATATACATATACATATATACATATACATATATATGTATTTCATGAGAAAAGGAGACTTAGGGCTTCAGAAGGGAGGTAGACTTAGGGCTTCAGATGGTCATAAAAAGTTATTTCTGGTAATAATTCTATGGACAAAGCCCCTAATTTAAATTATTTAAGGAAGAGAGGTAAACGTTTCCCATGAGCCTGCAGTCTGCCTTTAATCAAAATAATCCACAAGAGGCACATCTTGGGGTGACTCATTCTGAAC